ATTCTGGTTTCAACCGTTGCGTATATTAGCTGCAACATATGAATCAAGATGCTATGATTGAAAATATTTGATTGACAGGTGACCGTTGATATATGATTGGCTGAATTTAGGTGTTCAGGCTGACGTAGAACTAACTGGCCTGCAGAAGATAATAAATAAAAAACACAGATTTTAAGACAGAATTTTTTCTAACTTTTGGGACAATATCGTCTGATAAAGAGAACATTTATATACATGTTTAACCCAGAATGATTTGTCATTTAAATATGACTTCTCTACGAATTAAAAAAGAACCGCTTTAGGCTGCCCTGCATTTCCTGCAGATTATAATCCGATATGATCAGAGCTGATCGGTCAGGCCGAGGCTCACCTGTTGGATTCCCAGCCAGTCAGCCAGGTCCCGAGCGTTGGCCAGAGCCGTGGACAGACCCACCACTCTGACGCTCTTAGAGGTGTGGGAGGAGATGAAGTTGGTCCTGGAGACAATGACCTCCAACACGGGGCCTCGGTCCTCACCTGCACAAACACACACAGAGGACAGCGGGCCGCCTGTTCAGCACAGACTCTCCTCCTTTAGGTTGGAAAACAGCAGGTTAGCGTGTCGGGCTCAGAAGCCGGCCTCCTACCCAGCAGGTGGATCTCATCGATGATGAGAATGGCCACCTTCTGGACGTAGCTCCGGTTCTGCCAGCTCCTGCTCACTCCGTCCCATTTCTCCGGCGTTGTGACGATGAGGTCAGCTTGTGCTATGGCCCTCATGTCCGGAGTCACGTCCCCCGTCAGCTCCACCACTCTACACCCCGACAGAAGAGAGAAGAAGCCGTTAGACATCAGGCCTGCTCTCCCATCCTGCTGAGGAGCAGAAGGACTTACCTCTTCCCCAGTTTCTCCTCAATCCGGACCTTCCAGTCTTCCATCCTCTCCCTCACCAGAGCCTTCAAAGGAGCGATGTAGACCACCTAAAGACCCACAATGATGACATCTAAAGAAGGTTAACGTCTGCTAAAATATGCTGGTGAAAATTCTCAGTCATCCAGGTCAGAGTCATTCCGAAAAAAATAAATCTACTGGACTTTGTTTCCAAGTTTGAAGACGTTTCTCTTCCATCCAAGAAGCATTTTCAATCCAAATGTCAGAAATAGCGTTGAGTTCCAGGTTTTATCCAGCAGGCCGACAAAGCCTGGTTTTTGTTTAGAAAAAAACCCTGTTTTTTTTCTGCTGCTGGATAAAACCTGGAACTCAACGCTTTTTCTGACCTTTTGGATTGAAAAAGTTTCTTGGATGGAAGAGAAACGTCTTCAAACTTGGAAACAAAGTCCAGAGGATTGATTTTAACTTTTTAGTGAAGTCTGCTAAATGAAATGTGATGTGATGGAGAGGAAACCAGCAGGAGCAGAACCTTAGAGGACGGATACTTGTTGAAGACGCGGAACATGGCCAGCTCAGCTGCGATGGTTTTCCCGGAGCCTGTTGGCGCCCCCAGCAGGACGTTGGTGTCGGTGTGGTAGAGGGTGTGGAAGATCTGCGTCTGGATGGGGTTGAAGTGGGTGAACTTGTAGAGGCTCTCAAACTCGCGGTTCCCCAGAGCGGTCACAGGTAGCGGCTGCAGGTCCAGCAGTTCTGAGGAGGTAAAGTGAAGGAAACACGAACTGATCGACACCGTCTGACCCAGAGAACGAGAAAACTCAAAGAGCTGCACCGTCACGTTTCCTCTGGGACCCATCGGTCCTTCAATGGACAGAAACAAGTTAAACTAAGTCAGCTCCAACATGTCGTCAAATTTAATCCCACTGTGGAAATAACCTGAATATATTTATATCAATGAAGTTGGTTCTTATGGACTTTATTAGTTTGGATCTGCTTTCAAATATAGACAAAGACGTATCCTAGGGAAGGGAGGGGGGGCAGCCTGTGAAAACAGAGGAAAGAATCTCTCGGGCCGTAAAACTCAGACTGGGACCAGATGAACCCTGATGTGGGTAAACATGGACCGTCTCTGTTTCCATCCACCTCTCCTGAGGCTGAACAGCTGAACAGAATCCTTCTACAGAAAGTCGGAGAGATTCCAGGGAGGCTGAAGTCTGAAACCAAAACCTGAGCCCAGTGACTCCTGGTACCTGAAACCGGATCAGAACCGGCCCCTCTATGCAGAAACGGGCCCAACAGAACAATCAGGTTTAATCTGACACAAAGTCTCCATTAAGGTTATTATCAATACTAACAAACTCTTTAAACATTTAATTTGTGAACAATATAAATCATTTCTTTGCAAATGAGCAGGATGTTTAAAAAAATCAAACTGTCCTTCACTGAGAAAAGGAGTGAAGAAGCTGTAATGATGATAAGTTGGTCTGTAAACATGAAGCCGTTCTCTGCCTGCTGCTGTGTGAAACTATTTTCTGCAATATTTACCCACCTTCTGAGGTCCAACTAATAATCATTATCATTGATCATCTACTACAGTAACTTTATTCTCATTTTTTAACAAACCATAATGTTGTTTCTATTTTAATGTTTCAAAATAAAAGAGGATGACTATTTATTTAGACAATCAGAATAAAATGTTTCTAGGTTAATGAGAAGAAATAAAGATCTATAAAAATGTTATAGATCTTTACTGAAACTAGATCTGCTTCGCATTTATAAAGACCTGATCCTCATAGATCCAGTAGATGAGCTAAACTGTACATGTGATTCTCTTTCAGAATGTGTGATAAGCGGCCTTGTTGCTGCTGTTCCTTAAATATTAAGCCGTTCAGACCTGTTTATTTCCACGCATTTAATGAAAAGGTTGCGTTTTAGGGCAGTTTAAGGGGGATAAGAACATAATGATCAAAGCAACGGAGATGCTAGTTATATTTGAAAAAATATATAAAACTGAAGTAGGAAAGAACTCAGAGCACAGAGTTTAGCTAGGCAGGTCTCTGAACATTTCAGCCAAATTCATTCACAACTTCTTTAGTTATTTTTAAAGTAGGAAAGCTCCTTGGCCAAGGTACAGAAATAATAACTATTGCAAACTTTACAGACTTGCTCTGAGTGCTACTAAGGTAGAGCGCTAACAGCCTGACCCGGCGGGGAAGAATTTCAGTCCAGATAGATGTTCCTCCTTGGTTCTACCTTTCTTAAATCCAAAGTACTTAGGTTATATTGAGCCATTTCTATAGTTCTGCTGCTAGAGCCTTAGACTGCTGGAGGACATAGGGACCCCTTTTTCATCATTCTGCTTCATTCTATCTCTATTCTCCCACTCTGCAGAATCTGTTAGTTCAATCTCTAACGTTCTGCTCTCTCTGCTTTTTCTCATAGTAGCTTCATCTGGTCTGTTCCTGTTTGGCTGTGACTCCATCCTGGAGAGAAATATCAGCTGTGCTGCTGCCATCAACACCTTTGTTTCTAGATGTTGGAGCTTGGCCTGTTTTCCAGTGTAGTCCTGTTTCTCTGACTGTGACTAACTGGATGTGCTCTCTTCATCCTCTGACATGGGAGCTGGCTCGGAGCTCGTCTGCCTGGCTGTGTGTTTCCTGGACGGGGCCGCCTGTGGAGCTGGTTGACAGTTGCCTTTTGTATCTATGCGTCTTTTTCTATGTCTGCTTCTGTCTCCTTGAACCCCAGTGGGCCTCAGCAGATGGCCGCTCACACTGAGCCTGGTTCTGCTGGAGGTTTCTTCCTGTTCAAAGGGAGTTTTTCCTATTTTGAAAATCTCTTTGCTCATGGTACATGTTTACATTTTTATATCGCCTATCCATGAATCTATCCATTAGAACATGATCTGCATATAAATGAAGGAAGACACACAAACAAAGGTTTGGCAAATCCCTCTGCACCTTCTTTGAAGATCCGCTCTACATCAACAAACTCATTTGCAGGCATTTTAAGATGCAAACCATTTAAAGATCAGCCACTTAGTTGGGCCGTTAAAATTTTAGCCAAAGTTGTGGAAGGTCACCAGGCTGCAGACCCCTGCTCTTTGGAGACCAAAGTCTGGCCCTAATGTGGGTTAGTCTGTAACTAAAGTAAAGGACGGTCAATATAAAGCTCAAAGATTGGTGCAAATGGCCCCTAAAGGCAAAGCAACATTAGAAAAATTAGGAACTAACATAATTTTCATAAGTTTTTGATGCAGGGCAGATGTTCAGCAGGAAGAATAATCAGCACAGGCATATTTAAACAACGGGATAAACAGTTTAACCAGACAGTCCTGAACTTAAACAGATCTAGATGCTGTAAATGGTGCAGGAAAGCAGCGCTTGTTGCTGACGAGTGTGTACCGGTGTGTGGGGGGTGCCTCTCAGGTAGAATGAGGTTCTGGAAGTTGATGATGCACACAGCCTCAGCGCCCAGCCAGCGGTCTGACACCGCCTTGATGTAGTACTGCGAGGGCAGCGGCTCAAAGATGGGGATGGTGAAGACGATGTGCTGAGGCTCTTTGGTCACCACCTGGATGAACAAAACAACCTCAGGACGTGTGCTCTCCACCCGGAGTTCTGTCAGACCAGCATACCCAGTCAGACCAGCATACCCAGTCAGACCAGCATACCCATAGCAATACGCATGCAGAAAGGAACATTTAAACAACTTCTATTACATTTGCAGATCAGCCTGTAAAGATGAGCAAACACTGTAACGATCTGACAGGCTAGCTGCTAGGTCAGGTGTGAAGGCGGGAACACAGAAAGCGAGGCTGTCTGTGTTTAAAGCAGTTTAGCTTTAAATTCTGTTTACCTCAGAATAAAACTTTTTGTTTTTTACATCACGCATAAATAACTTAGCCTACTTGACTGTTTTTCAGGTAAGTTTGGGTGTTTACCTTCAACTACAACTTTTTCTTTATCATATCACAGATAAATAAAGCAGCCTAGTGGTCTTCCTTTCATTTATAGTGACAGATGTATGCAAATCTGATACAAAGCTGGTCTGATGGGGTATGCTGGTCTGACAGAACGCCGGCTCCAGATCCAAACCAACCTGCTTCTTCTGCAGAAGGAAGTACTCTGAGTGGTAGATGTGATCGTTGATGGGATCCTCCACCCACAGCCACCAAGGCTCCCCCACAGACCCGTGGACCTGAAAGCAGTGATCCGTTAGAGACTAGAACTGATCCTCTTCCACAGCCTACAGCTGTAACAGATCTAATCGTCAGTAATTATGGTACCTACAGTATCATGCTCTTTTTGGTTAGGAATAAAACATGATGAAAGCAATGCCTTCAATCTGAGGAATCCTCCAGATGAAGACGGATTTCAGACGACCTGAGAGGGAACGCTGTGACGAACAGGCTGTAAATAACGGCCATCTTGTCAGTGGTAGAGATGATGGCACCGTGTGCGAGTGTGGTCCGTGTTCTGGGTGCCATGGGGGGAGGGGGGGCATGTGTCGTGGCTCTGCAGCCGGATCAGGACTAAGCCAGTCGGGTTCAGTTTCCACTCTCCCATGATCAGAGCATGCATTGCTAATCGGACATAAACATTCATCTTCATATTCAGCTCTGCTACAGTAAGCCTCCTGTTCCCCTCAGATTCCACCGCAAAGTTTGGACCGAGCTCCGCTGACCCCCCCACAGCCCGCCTGCCCACCGAGGTCAGACATCTTGGCGAGGCCTGTAGGCATTCAGCCTCTGCGGCACAGATGCAGATTCCAGAGCGGGAAGAAAAACAAAGGTAGGAGGAGATTTTCTCCTGGCCTCCTTCACGTCTTCCTCTGCTGCCGCAGTAATTAAGGAGTTTGTGTAAATATCAAGTGGCGCCTTTTATTGGCGAGGAGGAGGAGAGAAAGCCTGAATTTAAGCCTTCAGCTGTTTCCAGCCTGATTTAACTGCCTTATCCATCCTGAACTTCTACTAACAATCAGCACATCTATGGCCAAGTCCTGATGCAGCCATGGAGCAGNGCACATCTATGGCCAAGTCCTGATGCAGCCATGGAGCAGCGCTGACACCACCCCAACACGTCCCGCACGACCCCGACAGGCCCCGCACCACCCCGACACGTCCCGCACGACCCCGACACGTCCCGCACGACCCGACAGGTCCTGCACGACCCCGACACGTCCCGCACGACCCGACAGGTCCCGCACGACCCCGACAGGTCCCGCACGACCCCGACAGGTCCTGCGCCACCCGACACGTCCCGCACGACCCCGACACGTCCCGCACGAACCCGACACGTCCCGCACGAACCCGACAGGTCCCTCACGACCCGACACGTCCCGAACGACCCGACAGGTCCCGCACGACCCCGACACGTCCCGAACGACCCGACAGGCCCCTCACGACCCCGACAGGTCCCGCACGACCCGACAGGTCCCGCACGACCCCGACAGGTCCCGCACGACCCG